CAGGTGGCAGATGATGGCCACCGATCGAAGAGGACTCCAGGGCACCGGCTATGTGAGAAAGGAGACCGGTTGGATGACCAACGATGAAGGGTTGGCGCGAGTCTTGCAGGGAGCCTGCTCGAATGAGTCGGGCAAAGGACCATGGCACCGACGCATCCATTTGATCGGAGGCATTGCTCGGCAGGCAGCGGTATACCCACCGCAGCTTGTGAAAGCAGTGTTGAGGAGCCTGCGTAATACGCTGGCAGAGAAAGGTGAACTGAACACCTTTGACCTGTTTGCAGCAGGTCCAGTTCCAGAGATGCCTCTGATGGACCCAGAATTCGAAGAGGTCTACATGGATGATGTGAACGGCGGCATTTTGCCAGCCGAGAAAGTGAAGGAGGCAAGATGCCTCGAGATGGACTACTTGAAAGAGAAGCATGGCGTCTATGTGCCAAGGCCAAGAGCCGAGTGTTTTGAGGAAACGGGGAAGCTCCCGATTCCAGTCAGGTGGTTGGACACCAACAAGGGAGATCCAACAAATCCAAACTATAGGAGCCGATTAGTCGTGCGTGAAATAAAGGCAAGAAAGACCAAGGAAGAACAGTTGCCAGCCAACTTACTTTTCAGCAGCACGCCCCCTTTGGAGGCGATGAGACTGCTGTGTTCGCTGTGGGCAACAAAGAGAAGTCACAACCAGCCACTGAAGCTGGGCTTGTGGGGCATCTCACGAGCACACTTCTACGGAACTCCAAAGAGAAAGATCTACATAGAGCTGCCGCCTGAGGACGAAGCCAGCAACGACGGACAGACCTGTGGACTTCTCGTGAAGTCAATGTACGGGACACAGGATCTCCGAATATCTGGCAGACACACTACACAGAGACTCTGCAGAAAGCTGGTTTCCGCAGAGGTTTGTCGAATGCGTCAGTCTTCTACCAAGAAGCTTGGGATGTCAGAGTTATGGTGCATGGAGATGACTTCCTAGCATGCCCAACACTTGGAGAAGCTCAGTCAAGTCCTCAAGGACGCCTATGAGCTCGGTTAATCCGAGTCGATAAGAAGAACGGCAAGGGATCAATTTTGATCGAAGCCGATCGGGGGCATGTTGATCTTTTGATCCAAGCATTTGGCTTGGAAAAGGCAAATGGTGTAGAATCACCAGATGTCAAGAAGTCGGCGTATCAGCAGATGCTGGAAAGCCGCAGTCCGCTGCTAGACAAGAGCGAGGCATCGAGGTATCGCTCAGCCACGACGCGTGCTGCGTATTTGTCCCAAGATCGACTTGATATTGGGCACGCAGTCAAGAGCCTCGCTCGAGGTATGGTGTCGCCAACAGAAGCCACGCTTGCAGACTTGAAGCGTCTCAGCAGGTACCTTAAGAAGTACCCTGATGTCGGGCAATGTTTTGGCTCACAACATGGTGGAGATGCTGTGACACGCAAGAGCACGACTGGCATGGTTGCCATTTTCGGCACCCACGTGCTGAAACACGGCAGCGACACCCAATCCACCATAGCCCTTTCGACAGGCGAGAGCGAATACTACGCACTCGTCAAGGGCGGATCTGTGGGCTTAGGACTTCAAAGCCTTTGCGCAGATCTTGGATTGGATTTGGAAGTCACCGTAGAGGGCGATTCTAATGCAGCCAAAGGCACCGTCAACCGAGTTGGATTGGGTAAAGCCAGACATATCCAAACGCGTTACCTATGGTTGCAGGAAAGAGTTGCCGAAGGCCACTTGAAAGTGCGCCGCGTTCGAGGAGTTAAGAACAAAGCCGATGTTTTGACCAAGTCGGTTCCTGGGGTGCAGCTTTGCAAAACGATGGAAGATTTGCAATATGCCTTCCTCGGTAAGAGAAGCAAAGGGCAGCTGGACGTTTTGGAGTAACGTCCCTGGCCAAGCTCCACTACCGCAGCTGAGAGTGGCTTAGCAGCGTGAGGTTTCACATGTTTTACTTGGACTTGCGCAGCAGTACAGTGCTTTGCAAGAGGAGGAGTGTTTGCATGTACAGCCCACAAATACTCCGCTAGGATACTGCAGACACGTGACTTACGACATGTTTTGGCTCAAGGTGAAAAGGCGTTCCGAAACGTCGAAACCTCGTTTTCATATACTATACTGCAAAATACGCGCTCCTTAGAATCTTGTATTAACATAGTACATTTTGTGGGGTATCGTCGTAAATTCATAAAGAAAGGATCATTTCATATTGGGGAGTATTGTCAAGAAAAACAGGGCAAAGAAATCCAACTAAATAGAACATATGCAGGTTGGCAGACATATAAGAGAATGACATACACTGCATCAATCCTCAATCCAACGCCGTATGGAAGTTGAAAATATTTAGGGATACGCACGTCAAAAAACATTCCGATTGTTTTAACTTTCAAGACTAGAACATTTGTGTGGACAGTGACAGTGACAAGTCGTCATTTCATTGGCGCAATACCAGCTTTAGTTTTGTAAGTGTAGCATGCAGCAGGAGTATTTGCTCACGTGTTGCGACGATAGTGCCAGGACAACATGAACGCTATGTTGGAGGGTGTTACAGTCACTGGTCGAGATGGCAAGGCCACCCTCTCCAAACGAACTTTGAGAGATTCAATCTATGGTGGTACAGAGTCATGGGTCACCTGCTCACGGAGTTGGCAGGTCACCAACCTCGAGCAGGTCTATTTGAGGCTGGCAGGGGTCAGAAACCGGACAAGGCCAAGCAGAAGGAAGACACTTTTGTTTGCTGCTTGCTCTCCTACATATGAATAATACCTTGACACTGTACCGGCGGTCGACAGCATTGGTACTGGTTGAATTTCAGGCTTTTGGTTCAGGAGATGAAAATGAGAGCTCCCCAAGTCACACTTCACTGTTTACTTAGCAATAACTCCTTGGACAAAGGAACAACAGAGGCGAAGCGTCTTCAGATTGCTGTGTACTTAGTAGGTTGTTGGGAAGGTGTTTTGGTCAGTGCAGACAGTGGTCAGACGCCCCAGTTTTTGTCAGCAAATCTGGCCAGGGGCTCACAGATTCGGTACTTCATTTTGCCAGATGCATGGCTGCAAACCCATCAGATTTTTTGACTTGATTGGTAGTAACCACAGCTGATGGGTAGCTGGTAGCTGGCTTGTGTACGTGGTTTAGCTTAAAGTCTTAAAGGCTCGGCCGACTAACAAATTCAGGGCAAAAGGCTTTTATTTTTCCTGATGACCATACAAAACTTTTTTGCGTGGCATCAGATTGCTTTGATCAAGAGGACACTCATAGACCATGGGGGGCCAATCCAACTCCAAGACACCTGCAAGCCACAGATTGAATGCAGAAGGATGTATGCACCAAGGATATGCTTCGGCATGCGCCCATGTTCAAAAAGAAGGCTAGTCAGTCACACTCTGGGGCTCAAACACTTGCCTTTTGGATCGAATTGCCAAAACAACTGACTTGCGAACTTGGCTTATTCGGAAAGAACAAATGTGTTGTGCTGGTGTCACACCGAACATGCATCATCCCATTTGTGATGCCTCCAAACCTTGCAGGGCCGCGGCGCTGGTCGCGGTGTCTATGGACCTGGTGGCAAGGCGGGCATTTATTTTCACTAATGCAAGTTGTCCGCCAAGTTGTGTTTTTTTGCATATACACATACTTTTTGTATCAATCATCAACATACAAGTGACGCGGTGGTGTGCATGGGCTTTTCAATGTGCTGTGTTCGATGCCATCCATCGAGCCAAACCTCCATTCAGGGCCGTGGCAAGGGCTTGGCACAGCGTGCCCGAACAGCAGCAGCTGCCACACGAAAGTGAGGAGATACCTCTGGCAGTGGGCCTTGACAAGGGATCTGAGTCCAGCTACATTTGAGGGATACTACACAGATTGGATGGAACAATGGGTGTGCCCGCCCCTATGAGACATGTAAACGCTAGGTACGAAGTATGTAAGAATAATGTAAGGCACGGAAGGTTTCAATATGTTTGCAAGGATTTCTTTAGGCACTCGGTAAAGCTTAGAAGCTTGCTGCCTCCAAAAGTTGGGACAAAACCGCTTGGGACAATGTGTCTTGGGACGCTGAAGGTAGAGGGAACACCATTCCATTGCATGGCCCTGCATTGGAGCGATATCCATCAAAGCAGCACTGCACACAAACCTTAACAACAGCTTAAGTAACTCATGTACCCTGCTGAAGACCCTGAAAGCCACTGGTTTGTATCAGGCCTCCATTCTCAGGGTCCACGGAGAACATTTTCCGGGAGCAAAACTCCAAGTGTTTCTCAGACTCCACGCAAAACACTCCTCAACGCTGGAATAGGTCCAGTAAATTGGCATTGGCACGTTTGCGAGCTGCAAACATTGCACATGCCAGTATGCCTTGCGGCTCAGGGAAATGCACTGTGCAAGGTGTTGCCACCGCGCAGCGCCAGACAAGTTTTGAGAATAGTGCAAACCTAAACTCGAACGCGCAAGACATTTGTGAGGCTTTATTGGTCAGCTGTTTGGTGCTCAGAAAGAATTCCTGTATGAGCTTCATGCCGACCGGCATACAAAGCGCATGGTCAAAGAAAACAAGACTTGACCCATCTTGGGAAGCGCTTGCGCGAACCGCATCAGTCTTCTGTCGACCTACGAGAACTATGTGTATGGATCATAGACAAGTATGGACTCACGCGCTGACAGCGGCAGTGAGGCAGTGCAGGTTTTAACAATACAGGTAGCACTGTAAGCACCATCAAGCCTACAATTAGCTATAGGTCAAATTCAAGGATTTTACACTGCACTGGTTCAGATGAAATCGCCCCGTGAATTGAAGCCAAAATGACTGCCACACCTCAGCGTTGGCTGATGGAACATGCTGTGCGGAAAGAGTAGGAAGAGACATGCAAGACAGTCCAAGATGACATCATAAGAAGTTACGGCTTAGATCGTTGGATCGGTAGTCCAGGATCATGTTGAGAAACCGCACCACAAACAGCAAAGCCATGGAATTCAAGCCGTTGCTTCATAGCCTAGCTTCGTGTGTCCCTGCGATGGCTGGTGAGGTGGATCCCCCCGTGACAGAAAGTGTTTTTGCGCAGGCAGTGTTGGCTGCAGCCCCACATGGTGGTAGCTGCGAAGTGCTGCGCCTGGCAGAGGGCAAACTTTGGACCAGTGGAGCAGATGGGCGACTTGCATGTAGTAGCCACGAAGGAGTGGGCCAAAGAGTGTTCAATTTCTGGCACAGGGCAAATGTATGTGACAAGGTTGACAGAAATGAATAGATGGCGGTGGATTTGTCTCTTGATGGAACGACTCTGTACAGCTATGTTTATATATGTCCCTTGTTTTGAATGAAACTGCCCAAGAGGATTGTGACTAAGACTTAAGAACTCCCAACGCGAATTCCCACAAGCAAGCGGCTGAGAGGGAAAGGAGTTTGGCCCCCTTGAGAAACCAGTCACTTTTTCAGTTGAGTCAGTTGAGCATATGTGGAAATGCCAGGAGACACCTTAAGCCGAAACTGGGCGCAAAAAATCTCGAAGAGATTGGACTCACCCACCGCGGCGATCTCTCTTGATGGCCGCCTTCTAGCTGTGGCAGAAGAGACTCAAGCGGGCTTTCAGGCAATTGCTGAAAGTTGAAAGGTGTTCATGTTGCGAGAAACAAACGCACACTCCATTGGACGTCTCCTGTCAAGACTCCCCAGGTCTGGGTGCACGAGCTGGACGCTAAAGGCAGAATGTCATTGCAAAAGCCAAGGACACTGCTTGGCCAAAACCTTGGTGTGTTCTTCTGTGCCTTGCCAGAGTGCCGCACTGATTGCATGCCGCCATTACGCACGCAGCGCCAGGAATGCCGGCAGGTTCACATTGAATATCAGACATTTATCCTGGCACCAGACTTTGCCCTACTTGTGCATCAGCACTGATGATGGGAAGCTGGATGTTTGGTGGGAAGAATCCCAAGGCCTAAAAGCATTGAACCAACTTGTCATAGCCATGTTTGATGAGGCACAAATACAAGTTCTCAGAGAAGGCTTTATATAAACCTGTTTAAACACAATTTTACTTGGATGGCTGCCAAAACTGCAAACAAGAATCATGTATATAAGTTTCAATTGTTCATCTTGCCCGAAGGGAGCAGTACGACAGCGTCCCGGCGCCAACTTCTCAAAGGCCTGGAGGGAGGAGTCCGTTGCTTGGCCGAGTTTCACAAAGTTTGGCGAAGCAGAATAGGAACTTTGGCAGAACACCTGGGATTGAGTCAGAAGAAGCAGTGAACTCGCATTGCTTTTTGGGACATACTCGTATTGGGAAATACTAACTGCACATGAGAAGTAGACCTACCTTCCAAACAACAGTGCCGTTGTGATCCTAGGTTGCGCTGCCCTGGATCCTCAATCAAAGCTACTGGCTGCTGCTTTCACCTCCGGCCAGCTGGTGATCCTGAGTTTTCCGGAGGCACTCTTTCCGAGAATTTGGAAGTAACTGCCTTCACCTCCTCGAATTGCTTAGAATTGAAAGCACAAGGCCAGTTAACGGTTTGCGCACAGAGCGGGAGAGAGAGAGAGAGAGAGAGCATGCATAGGGTTGTGTCTGCCAGACCCCTTTATTCTAGAAGTTTATCATCTTGAAACAAGAGCAAAAACATGCAAAAAAAACATGCAATCACAAAATGCAACCAGAAAAACAAAAGCAATCACAAAAGCAAAAAAGAACGATCACAAATTGCAGCCAGAAAAACAAAAGCAATCATAAAAACAAAAAAAAGGCACACAACTAAAATTGGCTTTCTGGCGCACTTTTTGGAAGGGTCCACGTTCTGGCGCGCTTTCTGGCGCACTTTTGGGGGAGGGTCCACTTTCTGGTGCAGTTTTGGTCGCTTTTTTTTTCAATTTTTTTCCGGCGCCGGGTAAAAAGTCGCACTTTTGGTCGCGTTTTTCCCGAATGCGTAGCGAAGGGTTCTCGTTTAACTCTGGGGGTCTGCGGGTAGAGCCTTGTTCGCGACCCGTTGTTTCTATGTTCGCAACCGTCCGCAACCGTCCGCAACCGTCCGCAACCGTTCGCAACCGTTCGCAACCGTCCGCAACCGTTCGCAGTAGAGCGCTAAGGCGCTGCCATTGGGGGAAGCTTTTGCAAGTGACTTTTCATGGCTGTGTCACGTGTCAGTTTGCGCCGCTATTCCATTGTGATTTGCATGAAAATGAGATGTCGCGCAAGAAACGTGATGCGTTTCGCTGCACAGGCGCAGCGTTTTGTGAGATCTGCAGATTGCTGCGCAGTTCCATTGGGACTAGCGTTTGGAGAGTCGTGTTTTTGGGGTGTTGGATGTGGCCGTGCCATTGGGATTTGCGTTTCAGGGTGTGGCATCGAAGCTCTGTTTTCGTGACAAGTCTCAGCTGAAATGCCGATTTTGGTGGAGGGGAGTGTGCTCAGAACGGGTCGAAATCATTCCAAACGTGTGGTGTGGTGCAAATTTTGTTGAAGCTCACATGAGATGACATTGTTACTTTTCGTGGCAGGCGCAGGACTTGTGCAGGTTTTGAGGTGTGGAAGTTGGATTTTCGTGGCAGGCGCAGGGAATCGTGAGGTTGCGATGTGTGACGGAGGTGACATTTCGTGGCAGGCGCAGTACTTTGTGCGCGTTAGACGTGTGGACGCGGAAAGATTCGTGGCAGGCGCAGGGAATCGGGAGGCTGTGAGTTGTGGTAGAGGTGAATGTCGCTGTCGCATTGGGATTGGCGTGTGAGCGGGTGTCATTTGGAGGGGCTGGAATCGCGAAATTGCTTGGCAGGGCTGCGTGATGTGTGTGCTCCGATTGGACTTTTGGAGGAAGTCTCGCGCGAAACGCTTGTTTTTGAGACTTGACGCGTGACTTTTGGAGGAAGTCTCGTACGAAACGCTCGTCTTGCAGCCTCGCAGCGTGACTTTTGGAGGAAGTCTCGTGCGAAGAGTGTGCCCTACAGGAGTGTCCCACAAGAGTGTCCTACAAGAGTGTCCCACAAGAGTGTCCTACAAGAGTATCCCACAAGAGTGTTCCGATGAGTGTCCCACAAGAGTGTCCTACAAGAGTGTCCCACAAGTGTGTCCCACAAGAGTGTCCGACAAGAGTGTTCCATAAGAGTGACCCACAAGAGTGTCCTACAAGAGTCTGCAACAAGAGTGTCCCGTAAGAGTGTCCCACAAGAGTGTCCTACAAGAGTGTCCCACAAGAGTGTCCTACAAGAGTGTCCCGTAAGAGTGTCTCACAAGAGTGTCCCACAAGAGTGTCCCGCAACCATGTCCCACAAGAGTGTCTCACAAGAGTTAAGAGTGTCCATATAAGAGTGTCCCACAAGAGTGTCTGACAAGAGTGCCCTACAAGAGTGTCCCGCAAGAGTGTCCTACAAGAGTGTCCCACAAGAGTGTCCTACAAGAGTATCCCACAAGGGTTTCCTACAAGAGTGTCCTACAAGAGCGTCCCACAAGAGTGTCCCACAAGAGTGTCCTACAAGAGTGTCTGACAAGAGTGTCCCGCAAGAGTGTCCCAAATGAGTGTCCCACAGGAGTGTCCCACAAGAGTGTCCCGCAACAGTGTCCCGCAAGAGTGTCTCACAAGAGTGTCCCTTAAGAGTGTCCCACAAGAGTGTGCCGCAACAGTGTCCCACAAGAGTGTCCTACAAGAGTGTCCCACAAGAGCTTCCTACAACAGTGTCCCACAAGAGTGCGCCACAAGAGTGTCCCACAAGAGTGTCCTACAGGAGTATCCCACAAGAGTGTCCTACAAGAGTGTCCCGCAAGAGTTTCGTACTAAAGTGTCCCACAAGAGTGTCCCACAAGAGTGTCCCACAAGAGTGTCCCACAAGAGTGTCCCGTCAGAGTGTCCCACAAGAGTGTCTGACAAGAGTGACCCACAAGAGTGTCCCACAAGAGTGTCCTACAAGAGTGTCATTTGGACATATGTAGCTTTTTGAACGTGTTTGCGTTCGGGTTCGTGGGCTCCATCTTGTTTTTCGCATTTTTTTGTTCGCCTTTTTTCGCAAAAAAACAAAAATAAAGCGAAAAAAGAGCGAAAAAAAAGCGACCCAAAAGTGCGACTTTTTACCCGGCCCTGGAAACATGTGAAAAAAGCGAAAATACAGCGACCAAAAGTGCGACATTTGACCAGCAACAGAAAAAAAGCGACCAAAAGTGCAACACTTGACCCGGCGCCAGAAAAGACCCTTGTCCAGTACTAACCCTACCCGGCCCCTCCAAACTACCCTCTGTGTGTTGCTGGTGTCTTTTTTCGGTTGCTTCTTTTTTGCTTTTTTGTTGCTTTCTTGGTTGCTCTTTGTTTTGCTTGTGCTTTTTTGGTTGCACTTTGTTTTGATTTTTATTTTTGCTTTCTTGGTTTGCTCTTTGTTTTGCTGGTGCTTTTTTGATTTGCTTTTTCCCGAATGCGTAGCGAAGGGTTCTCGTTTAACTCTGGGGGTCTGCTTTGAAGCTGCTGGTTTTACTATTGAGTTATGGCTGTTAAGGACATTAGCTAAGTAGTTAGTAACTAGTTATAGGTGTTGAAAAACTAGTTAGCAAAAGGTTGTTTTCAAAAATTCTATTGACATTTTTCCAAAAGTGACAAAGACAATTTTGCATTTTTGCTTTGCAAAAAAGATGTTCTTACTTTCAAACTAACTATTGGGCAACAAAAAGACACACGCACAAGTACATCCCAGGAATGTTTCAACCAAACATGTTGGTATTTAAAATTTCAATTCATACACCATGATTTGTTTTTTCCAACCTAGGAAGCTTCCAATGATTTCGCAATGACAACAAAATGCGCTGCATTGTCCATTGTGTTTGGTTTTCCAAAGTGCTAGAAAAAAAGTCTCCAATTGCAGCGTAAAATGTTTTTACAGAAACCAAAGAAAATTGCAGCTACAAGCAGCTGATTTTGCAGGTGGTGCTGCAACATAGGCATATCCTTCAAGAGCAAATACAGGCAGTAGCCTTCAGTGGGGCAAAACCACAAACCAGAACAGAAGCTTGCAAAAGCTAACCACCGACCAGAACATAAGCTTGAAAAGCTATGTGCAAATGTGAAGTATACATTGTAATGCCCATCTGGCTGGTGCACCATATACAAAAACGATGGCTTGAGCATCTTCATCACCATCCAAAGTAGTGTCGCCAATGATATACGGGTTTGCCACTTCCATTTGCAGCTGCTCACCATTTGCAGGCTGTGATGACATGGCTGCACTCTACAGGACTAGTATAGACCAACACTTTGCATGTGTATCACACACTGCAAGAGCACATGTGGGTTATATGGTGTCCAATCATGAATTTCCAAGACAACAAAAGTATTTGAGCCTGTAAACGGTTATGACCTTGGATCCAAACTACTGAATCCCTGAATTCAAAACATCATAGTCTGTGATTTTGAATTCAAATCACTGAATTCAAACTCAAATTCTGCGATTTTGAATTCAAATCCCTGAATTCAATATCATATTCTGCGATTTTGAATTCAAATCCCTGAATTCAAAATCATTTTCTGTGATTTTGAATTCAAATCCCTGAGTTCAAAATCATATGCTTTGAAATTGAAAACCAGCCTACACAGGCTAGAATGTATGCCTGTAGAGGCTGCCATTTTTTGAGCCTATACAGGCTTCTTCACTGATCTCCAATTCTTTTTTCATTCTTGAAAGTCTCTCGAAGAAGCACAGTCATGACAGATCTATTCTAGATCCACTTGTCATACGCCCTCTCACCATGCTGCTCAACCTGTTTGCTGAGCATCTCCATGGGCTTCCTCAGGCTATGGCGCTCTGCCAACCTTGTCAGCGCCTTCTTGCGGTACTTGATGTGTCCAGTCTTGTATGCATGGACAAGGTTGCAGTTTATTCATCCAACCATGAGGCACATCATTCTCAGGGTCCTGAGTTGATAGATCATAGACACATACACTTGACTTGAGAATCTAGTTTTTTTATTTATGTTAACGTGTATATTTTGAGCCTTGACCAAATACATATTCAATGATGAAATGCATTCAAGGTACAGTGTAGTCCCTCCACCTTGACCAGTTTGAATTGCCCCATGATGCAACTGCAAGGCATGCCATGAATCTGCGCAACACCTGGTGTTTGAGTGTGCTTGTTCTTGCCACACATTGTGATTTGAACCGCCAAGCCACACATGCCAAACTTATAGCCTTTGGAATGCTGGCTCCACAAGCGCCTTCACGGGCAAAACCTCGCATCAGCTGCTAACCAAAAGGACTCATTGAGCATACAGCTGCTGAATATGA